ATTCATACCCGAGGATAACCCACTATAAAATTGGTTCGTAGAAGTGGACAATCACGTACGGAAGCTCTTTGGCGAGTTTTGAATCCATAAATCATGAAAAATAGACGAAACCTTCATACCAAATTCCTCCTTTCACTCAAGAACACGATTGAATGTAGTAGGATTTGAAGATGAGGAAGCCACGAAGAGAAAATAAGAAGGGTTGGTTTGGGGATCGTCCACCAAGAGAAGAACTATTAGATTTAGGTTTTAGGAATTCAATTGATTTGAGAAATTGGGAATTACGTTTTCTAGATCTTGAATAAGGGTATATTAGGTAGTTTATAAGTTATAATTTAAAATATTTATTTTAAAAATTTTATTTTGGTCAAAGGCTAAAATCCCAAAATTTAGTATGAAATAGGCTATTTGACCCAATTACCACTATTATATGTTGATGACAACTTTGTTTAGGGAGGATGAAACAACTTATTTTAATTTATCTCTCACTCTCTCTCTCTCCTCCCTTCCTTGTTCGAGAAATAAGTACATATATTCTAAAGTTGCTTTTTCAGCAGTATTTGATTTAAAGTGGAATTTCAATGCATAATTGATACATTTAATTTGGGACTGATTATGCATAATATATTGCTAAATTAAGATTCATGAGCTTGTCGAAGAGGAAGAGTTTTGAGTGAAAAACTTTGATTCAAATAGGAAGGAAAATAGAGATAGAGACAGAGATTGAGTTGTTGAAATAGATTGAATCGCTCAAACGATCTAACTCCACTTTTGGGATAGAAAATGATAGAAAAATTTTTAAAATAGTACAGAAAAGAGAATTCAAGTTTGTAAAATAGGCATGTTGATGAGAATCATGGAGGCCAAACTAACAAGAATCTACTGCATGTTCCGGAGTGAAATGAATCAATTAGAAGAGAAGATCCTATCGAATATTTGGCCATGAATACAATCTGGAAACATCTTTAGATTCTGTACAAGTTTGTTGGACGGCTTTGTCAAACTTTGGGGGGTCGAATTCGGTTGCTTAGGGGCTCTATTTTTGCGTTTTTATGTTTTGAATTAGTTTAAGGATATTTTCGTTATTAGTCATATTTTAGTTTTATTTTGTAATTTTCTAGTTTATTTGGATTAGTATTCAGAACTAGAGTTTCGTTCTGATTAGGAGTTTTATTTTATGTTTATATAAGGCACATTCATTGTATATCAATTTTTGAGAATTAATCATAGTGTGAATTTTTTGCACTTTCAATCAAGTTCTTAATTGAATAGAACTTATCAAAGATTTATACTCTTTGTGGCATTCAACAATTCATATAAAGTTCATAAGTTTTGTGATTACGGGATTAAAATATTGTTTGCGATTGTCTTAGTTCTTCGGTTCAATAATTTATCAGACTGAGCTTTCAAACATTCTAGGTGAGATTCTTCAGTCTTGTGATCAAGGGTTTCAACATATTATCAACGATTTGTTGGTTACTTGAAGTTACGAAACCCACACAAGATTGAATTACAACCCAAAAAAACCAAGAAATCAAAGTTTTGAGTTTTATTCAAAAATATTGAACCAAATAACCATCATTCTTTTCCAATTAAATAATGCTATTTGTAATCATTTACTGTCGCAGTTGCCATTCGTGGCATACATTTGACGATTAATGACTTATTTGATGTAAGAAAAAAATATCTCTTTAATATTTCAAATCACAAACCACCATGTAGGATGCCACGTATGGCGATTACTACCGTGAGCTATTATGAATAACAATACTATTGTCAATTGGTTATATATGGAATAATCACCACTTAATCAACTTATTTAATCTATCCAAATCCCTCATATTTTCAATTCAAAATATTTCATTATTAGCAATTTAAAAATCTAACAAAGAGGACTCAAGTTCAATTGATATAAAACGAAT